ATCAATATTATTTCAAACAAAAAATAAAATGAATTTTTAGCCCTTGGATGAGGATGGTTCAATTTGAACTCTAAAAAGGTGCTTGCACACCTTTTGAGCATCCACGACATGTGGATGCACTACCAACCCAAACATGAAAGGCCAAAATGGAGAATCAACGAGACAAGTGCGGCAAGGCATTACACAGTAATTGGCCAAGGTAAATGTTGATCTACTAGACTTAAAAACAGTTCTGAAAAACTATAATGACAACAAAGAAAGGAAAAGTTTATATAATGTTGCAACTTTTGTTGTAAAAGTAAGGCTACAGTAATCTACACCATCTAATTTATTAGTACGGTGTAGATTTGGTACTACCTTAAAAGACATGTGACTTTGTCTATAATGTTTTAAAAGGCATTAATTCTACACCGTCCTACAAAAGTGGATGGTGTAGAATATCACAACTTTGCTTTTACAAGTAAGGTTGCCACCTTATATAAACCGCACCCATATATATAGATTTCCCTAGCCAAATGGACATAAGCTTGATAGTTGCACCATAATCGGTTTGGCATGTATCAACAGAGATGGACGCATAACCATCAAGATGACCCAACCTAAGTGTCGACCATGCTATGGGATCTTGCCCCAGCGCTACTAGATGGGATCTCCATCCCTACTTTTTGGGATATCGATCCCCATTTTTTAGGGATGGCTCCTAGCCACTCAAAGGGACAACAAGAGGCCAAGAAGATGATTCATTTAGATAGTGTTGCAACTAAAGAAGCTTGTTAAGCTTTGGATGCAGTACAGTGTGAACTAAAATAAAGCAGATTTTCATCAATAACAAATCAGCGCTCCCTTGTATAGTCATCAGTTATCCCAATGTGGCCTTTCATAATAGTTTTTTTAGTATCTTGTTTGACTATTATTACATAAAGTACTTCTCAAAGGAATATCAAAATTTTATTTATTAATTAAATAATACTGATTAAAAAAAATACTTTTTTATTGCACATTTTTTGCGCATTCATTTTATTTGTAGGATTAATAGATTCTCTTAATTTATGATAAAACTTCTAATTTTCTTCAAGTTCTAACTTTTGAAAAGGATTTCAAATTTAAAATAAATCTGTAAAAAGCATGGTATTCAAGAATGCCTGTGCACAGCGTCAAAGTGGGATGTGAACCTGAGACCTTGACGCATGATGGCAAGTTAAGCAGTCTCCCGCTCAAAGCGACTATGAGTGGAAGGCAAATGGTAGATAACAAAGGTGTGGCAAATGAAAACTGGAGGTAAACTTGTGACAACAAAAGGCATAAAATAAAGAGAAATTTGAAGAAAAGAAAGAACTGATGAAATAAGCGTGAAGAATTTTTGAGAAAATTAGGACTTTGTGAACATAGGTCCAAGGGAGGCCAGAAAAATACATCTTAGTCTATACCAAGAAAGCCAACAACGGCATCTGCACCTAATAAGAATCAAGGGAAGTGCTCAGGGAAAAGGAACCTTCGGTAGGTTTTCCAAGTGAACTGTCATTGGATGTAAGGTAATTTTGGTAAAGGAGGGTGGAAAGAAGAGTGGAAGAGAAAACTAAGTAAATATAACTCCCAACTTGGCAAAGTCCATAGTGCACAGTTCTAGGAAGTTTTGAACAGTAGTAACTGAATATGTTCTAATTGAAACCTACCATTACAAAATATAAGTATGCAGTAGTATCACTCAACGCCAGTCAACAGCATCTCTTATACTCCTCATTATCGCAAATTGAAAATTATATAATAGCCTATTTGAAGAGGAGTAAATTATTTCTGATAATTAGTTAACTAATACTGGATTCCAAGCAAAAAATGTTTAGCCACAAGTTCATGATGTACTGGTGCACAAAAATTTTCTCCTGAACGTTCAGGTTGTCTTGGTACAGTTGTTGCCATAATCACTTAATAAGAGGTACCATTAACTAATACTGGACTCCAAGCAAAAAATGTTTAGCCACAAGTTCATGATGTACTGGTGCATAAAAATTTTCTCCTGAACGTTCAGGTTGTCTTGGTCAGTTGTTGCCATAATCACCTAATAAGAGGTACCATTGTTACCATCAAAATATTCACATAAACTAATCATCAATAACATAAACTGCATAAAGAGTAACATTTTCTGGAATTTCACCAGAAAGTATGCAAATCTATCAATTGAAGTTATGGAAAATTATTAAGATACAACAGCTCAATCGCACCTCATTCTGCAGAGAAATAAATAAATACATTGGAAAAAGGATGCCTAACCTCTCAGTACCAGTATAATCTTCTGAATCTGCAACTGTAGTAACACAACTATAATAGTAAAAACCAAAGTGAATAGAAAAACAGGAAGCTTTCTTCATTCAATGTCATAGGATTCCAGGGATTGACTTTGGGCACTGAAAATTTTTACTGAACCTAAATGTCACTTATATCAGACCGCATTTAATAGAATGTCTAAGCATAAGCCTTGTGCAGAATTTCTACGATCGTTTGCATGTTCACTCAGCTCCTTTGGATGTGTTTGTATTAGGACCTTCATCTTTCAATTACCCTCACGCGCCTTCTCTCTTCACCAGAACCTCCATTCTGATGATCATCAAGTCCACCAAACCTTTCCCTACGCTGAATCCTGCCTCTTCCACCTTGAGAAGCTGCATCAAAATCCCTGAAAGTACCCTTCCGATCATTCATTCTCCTGCCCCCAAAATCGTCTCCTCGAGACCCTCTTCCAAGACCACGATCCTTACGGAAGTCTTTCTCACTCCCTCTTGATTTAAATGACATCTCATTACCTGACTCACGAGATCCCCCAAATCGCCTATCAGGACGTCTGTTGGTACCAAATGAGTTTCTTTCATTCCCTCTCATACCATCTGATCTGAAGTGCCCATTCCGAGGGGACTTGTGGTCATTGAAATTCCCATAAGAAGCTCTCCCTCTTCTTCCTAGTCCACCCTTTTTTTCTCTCTCCCCTCTTCGAGGAGATATCCAATCACCCTCATCCTCAGAGTCTGGGCCTAAATTAACATCATCCTCAGAATCAGAATAGCTCCTCCTATTTCCTTTCCGATTAAGGTTTGGGGTCTTCCTATTTTTGAACCTTGAACGAGAGCCCCTGCCTAAATCATCATCAGAATCAGAATCAAGTGTACCTTCATCTTCTGAATCGAAAGACATGCTCCTGTGTGGACTACCGCGGCCTCTAACCCTTAACCCCTGTCTCAAACCCAAATTACGGTTTGATTTTTGGTCAAATTCATCATCATCAGAGTCACTACTTTGTTCATCATCATCTTCTGAGCTACCATGGCCAGGCCTGCCTCTCAGCTGACGTGATGGCTTGTGAAATGAATGAGAGGCTATCTCCCTTTCATCATCAGTTAAATCATCATAATCATCAGATTCCAACTTCCTAGAAGGTAGATCATTAGTGTTTGATGTATCAAGTTCGTAGTCATCCACATCGTCTTCATCATCAAAATCATCGAATCCAGTTCTTGGACTAGCTGAAGAGGGTTCTCTTCGGTCAGGAGAGAAATATCTCCCTTTCTCTTGGACCCTATGAAATGGTGTCTTTTCAAAGGGCTGATCATCAAATCCCTTACCATTAACGGAAGAGTTTTCACCTGTATTGGGAGGATCTGCAAACTCAAAGGCAGCAACATCTGCACCATCAGATTCGTCATCGTCAAAGTCAAAATTCCAAGCGTTCGAAACATTTTTCCCACTGGCAACCCGCTCGAGCCTTGTTCGGGGGGTTTGTGGATTGGTCGGCATCGGATTATCGATCTCTGCTTCTGGCGGGCGCTTATGATCACAGTGAAAGCATGTCATGTTTCTCCTATAATTCAAGAAGTTGCACCTGTAACAGGGGAAAAAACAAAAGCATTCTGAGTGCCCCAGTGAAAACAATGAATCCTAAAATTTCAAATAAAAAAGGAGAGAAGATAAGGGGCAATAATAAAGCACTAAAAAATGCCTGTTTTTCTTTACAGAAGCTAGAAAAAACATTGCAGTGTTTCATCGTTTTTTTATTTATGTTACTCTTTCTCAGATTCACTGGAATACTAGAGATGTTACACTAATATTTTTATCACAAAAGTAACAAATCTCAAAATTGTAGTGGATTTGTTAAGGAAAGACCAGTCATATCTGATCCCTGAAGGACAAAGGCAACTAGACCGACTCAAGGTGAAATGCCAATATTAACAGCATATATAATGTGAATAAGAGTTCCATAAGCATTTTTGGAAGTATATATATGGTTAAATCAAATAATGTAATTGTAGCCATTCTAAATACCAATGGTTGTTTAGGCATGTTCAACGGTGACATATCCATGATAAATAATAAAGGAAAACATAATGAACAAAAAGACACAAAACCGATATAGCAAGTGAGGTTAACCAGCAAAATCAACATAATCAGGAATGCATTAGAGACTTCACAAATAGTATAGAAAGCCCTACCCAGGACATTCCCATTCTCCAGGTAGTAGTTGCCTCTTTGGGCGCCTTGCATCACATTGCAAACAGACTGTATTCTTAGCAAAATTCATGAAGTCACACCTGAAACCAAGTTAAAAGAAATAAACATCTCATCCTTCACCTTTTTTCTCTTCATTTTCTTCTCTAAGTGTCTTGTTTTTCCAAATACTCCTAATTTCTTGTTATTTTCAGTTCTATTTTCTTCTATTTCTTATTTTCTTCCCAAGAAAAAGAACGAAAAGAGAAAGAACAGCTTTGAATAATTGAAATCAAACAAAACCAAAACAAAGGAAATGACCAAGTACAAGTGAGAGGTACTTAGGACAAAGCCAGTCTCCCTTCTTCATTTCAATATCGTCGCGCCCTACTCGTTTCTTTGGTGGAGGAGGTGGTTGCTTGATTTTGGGCGGAGGCTTCTTGATGACTGGAGGGGGAAGATTTGGATCAATTGGAACTGCACTCAACTTGACAACCTCATGAAGCAACTTGCGAACTACAGTCTTGATCGACTTCATTTTCAATAAAGCCTTATTCTCAACTGAACCCGTAATAGGTTCAAATCCATAGGTGAACAAAACCCTCATAACATCTAGAGTTCGAGCGTCATCCTCCTTGCACGTGGCTAGATAGGCTCGATCACAAGAACTTCTTAAACTGCATGAACTACAAACCTGAAAACATAGGTCAACACAACCTTCGAAAAGGAAAAAAACAAAGACGATGATAGAGATCAACAGAATTAAAGATAGAATTCTTCTCAAGAACAGCTCTTGAGAGAATTCTTCTCAAGAACAGCTCTTGACCAAGCATATTATGAACAATAAAGAATGCATGATCTTATAGATGTCTTATTTTATGGGTCTATCTGGAAAAGAAAAATTGTATTATGTACAAAGCATGTGTGCATGAGTTGAAGTGAGTTCGCTATTGCAGCCAGTTCAAAAGTATAATAAAGAGATCTTTAGTGTATAACTGCTTTAATTATATTTCTTGTTCGTATTGCTATCATCAAGGTTATCAAATGTGAAATGCAGACTCCATGCACTAGGAGGGTCCTATGTGCCGTGCGCATCAATGCGAACGTCATCGGGCAAATCACTTCCGATGCAGTTAATAAATTTAGAATTTACATATAAAATATGAAAATACAAAGAATAATATGAATACGCGATTATGTGATAGTAGAGAATTTAATTTAGTTTAGTACTTACTGAAAACAAAAACAAAAAAGAGAAATTAGTTTAGTATTTCTCTAATAGATAAATATGTCTGAGTTGCTGATAGAGACTAACAAACATTTTGTCTCAATTCTCTAATATAATTAACATGTAAAAAAAAAACACAATTTGTATTACAGCGTTCAAAGAAGGCAGATTTGGCCATTTGGGTAGCGCCTAGATTTCTGGGGGCGGCCCCAAAGGTGCAACATTGGGGGGAAAGTGTGTGGTTTTCTTATCTTTTTCTTTTTTTTTTGGGGTGGGGGGGAGCTAAGATGATATTTAATTGATACTTTCCCTTTGACTTCTGAAGTTTTTTAATGTATTGTGAAATCTTTACAAAAAGAATAAGTAAGTTTCAATGTAAGATGCACACAAGCCCTAGATATTTGGTTGAGGTTTGCAAATTATGAAGCACAAGAGAACAGTTAATATTTTCTACTATTGCACTAGGTGCATAAAATTCAAGAAAATTTTAAGGACAAA